CTTGATTGAACCCAGTTGTTTGAATTATGGTTAAAAAATTATTGCATTCATTATAAGTTACCGGAATACGAGTCTTTTAGTAGTCGCTTACTTTGGGTATAAACCCCCGTCAGTACCGAATGGTGGATCTGCACTTACTTCCCGATGATTTTTGAAACTTCAGTCCTTATGCATTTTGGCTATGAAATTAAAATCCCAGAGTAGTTTATTTCAAAAATGGTCATTTCTTCTTTTCTCATGTGGAATGGACCATATAATATATATATACCCTTTTGGAACGGGAAGTTTAGTCTTGTTCATGTTCATTGAAATAACGGAGACCATTTGTGAAAAGGCGTTCAAGACAGCTTTCAAGTCAAATGCTGCTAAAATTCTTAAGCATGAGCGAGCTGAAAAATTTCATTTTTAAAATCTCATAGTCAAAAATTAGAAGCCTCTTCTTTTAACAACATTCAATGAATGGGGTTTCACCACCTGATTAAGCAGCGTTTTTGCATAGGCCCGAATGCTGGTTATTTCAATAAAGCAAATCAACGCTATTCTTTTTTTTTCAGTTGCCTCAAAAATAGATAGATACGGAATGTTAAGTTATTTTCAACTCCATCCAAAATTCCCACGTGCACGAGCCAAGCAAACTCGTTGAAAATTAGCAGCATTTGCATATTACCATAGAGAAAAACCTAACCTCAAGTAACTGTCTTAAATTAAAAAGCCTTGGATTCGGTGTTTTGAAATACATTGTTTTAAGTTTTCTAGGCTCGTTGCGGCCACATAATTTACCAGACTTGCTACAAGAATGCACCGCGGGCTATGAAACATGGATCATGCATCATTCTTCTCTGAAGCAACCTTAATTAAAATAGGTGTATACAGCCGCACGAATGTCAGTGCCCATTTTAATAGCTTTATTAAAACTCAATCTTCCCTTTAATTCAAAGCAGAATTGTTCACTCATCTTTGGCTTACTGTGCACGTTTAAATCGATCATTTACCACCCTACCATCTAATACTGATCGTTTCGCAAATTTTATAACTGTAGAATATGTCACCATTTAGTGTCCTAATTATCATGTATTGTTTATGTGACCTGTACCTGCAATTCAGCTCTAAGCCGCAAAAAATGTCAATAAACAGTCATACATTCATTCATTCATTCATTCATTCATAATTGTCTGTCTGAACTGTACACTCAACAGTAGTCACTTTCTCCCAGGTGCCAATTACTTTATAGGCAATTGGCAAGCCAATGCCAGTGGCTTGTTTTCTCGCTCAAATCATGTGTGCCACGTCAGAAAAAAAAACTGTGATGTGTTTAGTTCACAGTCTCACTTAGTTGCTTGTTTGCGAACTCATTTCAATGTTTCAACGAGGTAATTGTAGCTTTTGGCTCCTTTACATCTGTTCCACCTTGTAGTTGGAAGACTTCATGGAGTCGAAAGACATCTAAGTCACTAATGCTTCCGAAAGAGACTAGAGGTGTTTTCTGCTGCTCCCTTGTAAGAGTTCTGCTGAGAACTGGCGAAGGCAAATCACTTAGAGTACACTTAATAGATTCAAAGGATCGATGCCGCTAGTTTTAGTCTAGAAAAAAGCCGACGGCTAAAAAATGAATGTGACTTGTGGCCCATTTGCCAAGTGCTTTCCAGGTCAAAATTTGGAATTTCAGTCCTGGCTCAAGACCAATAAAACACGTATAAAAACTGAAGCAAGATGGCCACCATACCAGTCATCACAAATTTATGTTAAAATGGCATCCTTGCGCACAGTTAAGTGCTGTTTTCAGGGTCCGTTACCTGCAGTAGGCAGTACTTAATTCGCACAAATAAAAATGGCTTGTCCTCCATTTTACCAACTCGGTTTTATTCAATGAAACAAATATGTTATCCTCGCTTTTTCAGTGAATCCAGCATTTTCAGGAATATATTGCAGGGCTTTTCTTTCAGAAAAGGATATTTTTTCACTTTATTCTCTTAACACAGTAAAAATCACGGATAAAAAGCAACGTTTCAACCAATTTTCGGTAGTTTTTAAGTAAGTAAAGAAAAAAGTTAAAAGAATAAGCATATATGTGTGTAAGGTGTAAAAATATGTTAAGAACTATAAAAATGTTTGAAAAATGATAAAAGAATGAAATAAAGTATGCAGAAAACAACAACAACAATAGAATCTAATTAAAAGAGCTAGTCAAAAACTTTTGCACAAAGTGAGTCTGATTGTACATCAAGACTAGGTCTCAGTTCATTAATAAAAAACGTTTCAAACACCAGGCAGTCAAATTTGGTTTTACACTTCTTTAAATTGCTAAATCTATTGTTGTTGTTTTTTTTCTGCATGCTTTATTTCATTCTTTTATCATTTTCAAAAATTTTTCATAGTTCTTAACATATTGTTACACCTTACACATATAAAGTATATGCTAATTCTTTTAATTTTTTTCTGCTTTTGAATAAATTATGACCAAAGATCAGTCGAAAGATCGTTTCTTATCCGTGATTTTTACTGCGTTAAGTTTTAGAAAACTCTTACTTATAAGTATTCTCTTGCATCGTGCCAATTAATTGCCATTACAAAAGAGCCTGCAGGCCAAAATTAAGCGATTGTTGAGCTTTTTTTTTCAGCAAAATCATCACTTGGCATTGTTTTATGCTATAGCCCCTCTTAATTATTTTATTATTTATTGTTAGATATGTTATAAAATATAATTAAAGCCTTGTCAAAATGCAAAAAAAAATATGTATACAATCCTAAACATCCCCTAAATGTTGCAAGTTTGAACTGGGCAATTCCAGAAAATATCCATGTCATACAAGATATCTGAATGGGAGGGGGGAGGATGACAATGGAATTCCAAGGGCATGGGAGAATAACACATTTAAAATGTAGAAACTGTCCAATTGGTGTGGTGTTGATATTTTGTGGAATCGCCCAAGGATTTTACAAATGTTAACATCTTTTTAAGTTATAAATCTTCTTAATTATTAAAAAATAATAATTACATGAAAAAAATATAGGGAGAGAAAAACTAAAACATCTGGATGTAACATAAAAAAGCATGGGCCTTACCCTGTAAACACTACAAATCTCTTTTTCGTGAAAATCCCATGCAAATGTGTTGAAAAACCCATGAACCCTTTCTTCATGGCCATGAACAGCAATTTCAGATTTCACGGTGCTAACTTAAGTCATGAAAGTTCCATGAAATTCTTTACTGGTTATTTTCATGAACCATGAAAAGTTTACAAAGCCATGAATATGGATTTTCATGGGTCATGAAATTCACATATATTTTAGACTGATACATTTCATGACCCCTGAAAAGGCAGTTACAGCCTAGCATGTATTTCATGACTGATGAAAGGTCTAATGGCCCATGAAATTCCAATGAAGGCACAATTAAAAACCCACAAAATGTGTCCAACTCACACTAGCACAAAAGTAGACATTAATGGCCCAGAGAAATGTTGCACACATTTATCAATTCGTAACATTAAGATCTTGCCAAATCTGTTTAAACTTAGGTCAATAAAGTTTATGATGACACATACCAACGCAAAAAAAAATTGCGTGATTAAAAACTGCAGTCACTTTTTAGTCCAAAGAAATAGCTTCATAGACTCCTGTTGGCAAAAATTTATTATACTGTTTGTCTCAATCGTTTGTCACTTAAAAGTTGTACTTTAAGCCATTACTTCAACCCAATTGAAAATGCCAGAGGACCAGGCACAAAATATATTTCATGGGCCATAAAAATACTGTGAAAAGGTCAGAAAAGTACTCTCAGAATCTTCATGACCCATTAAAAATTCCCCATTAAGGGGATAATCCTGACTCATGAATTTTCCATCCCCTTAAATTGCCATGAATTTGCACACCATGAAAAATCTGGATATATTTCATGGCCTTTTCCTCAACACCATGAAAATCCCATAACAAGTCAAATTCATGAGTCCCCTCATTAAAAAGTCATGGCTTTTTCATGTGTTTTTCATTGCATTTCTCATAATCTAGACTGTTTCATAGGCCATTAATTGCGAATTTTTCAAAGTATTTTCATGGCTTTTTTAACCCATTCGCTCCTGGAGATTTTGCCGAAAAACGCGTTTTGAAGCTAGTCGAGTGGTTTTCTGGTCACTGTCGTGCTATAAAGAGCTAAAACTTACCACAAACCGGTTTACAGGTCGTAGACTTGGCGGCCTTCTGATCCAGATGCAAAATATCAGCTTGCGAAGTTCGGGCATGCACAGAAAGCAAAATTTCGAGATAGTTTTTGGGTTTAAAAGTGACACAGCAGTCTTGACTTTTACTTTTCGCTTTCTCTCCTCCCTTCTTTTTTCGCTTTTCTTGCCTCATTTTTTTTTTCTCTTGCTGGGCATTTAGTAGGCTTCATTTTGGTGGGAAGAGTTTTTAGGAAAGCTTTTAGGATCTTAGGATTAGGTGAAAGGAAAGGTAGGTGGGTAATGGAACAAGATTTTCATGGCGATTTTCAGGTCCTTGTCACGTGGTTTTTTGCTTCTTTCTCCGGTGTCCTTGACTGAATTGTGCTCATTCTGGTATGGTTTGAAAGATCTCTTCACTCTGCACAAGTTAGCGACGAGAGTTGTCCTTGACCGTTAAAACTGATGACGTCACAAAGGGTAGAAAGGACCTGGATCCGCACGGGCGGTTACGGGCGGTTCAGGGGCGAATGGGTTAATGGTATTTTCATAGGTTGAACCCATGAAAATACCCCTTAAGTTTTGGCCATGAAAATCTGGTGAATAAGACATGAAAATCTTGTGAATTTCCCCCTGAATAAATTCACAAGATTTTTATGGGTTTTTGATAATCAAAGGTAAGATGTGAGAAGAAAAAGATTTCCCCAAACTTAGAAGTACCAGTAGGGACTGCTCCACTAGCATTATTACAACTAAAATTTCTACTCTGCATGTAGCTAGGTTTGTTTGCTAGAAGTTAAACAACCTTTTTAAAACTTCAAAATTCTCAGAGACATCTCTGTGATATTAAGTACATGAAAAGAGTGGTGATCTTACATTGTACGTATTATGATTCTCAATACCTGATTTGACCTGGAGCTCCCATCGTTGTACAGCAGTGCCATTGACCACAAACGAATAAATCCCTGATTTACTGACATCTGCCTCCCTTATTTTCAACCAGAACTTTCTTGTTGTTGTGTTATTTCCAATAAGAAAGTAACTGTTTGACACAATAACTACTTCATTGTATGTCCACTGACCAAATTCCAGGGCAGTCAGAGTAAGTTCTTTAGTTCTTGCCTTGTAAACCATCTTTGTTTTTTCTCCAGCTGTAATAGTGACATGATTGGTGCTTGCCTGCGAAACAAACAAATCCGATCTCAATGTTTTAAGTTTAATTAACAGCTGAAACATGTGAAACAGATGTACTTGCTATCCTGCTAAAAATATTTTTATAAATAAACTTTTTTTAAGTGGAAAATTGTGTGGATAGAATTGAGACACTGTGAAACAACGAGTGATCTTGTGATTTGTTGAGCTAAAATTAGCTTAATTGACATATAAAAGCATGCACAGTTCGAATTTTAATTGAGCAATGATCAATACATTGGATTTCAAGGAAACAGATTTAAGCAAATGTTGCTGACACATAGTCTTTCTGTCAATAACCACACACTGATCAGTGAGATGCTGAACTGAAAATGTGCAGTGCACTTTTACAATATTATTATAGTCTGAAAAGTATTGGTTTCGGCTCAATTTGTCATCACTTTGCACAACACTTTTGTTAAAGGGGATTTCAGCAACAACATGGGCACAGTTAGTTATAGAACACATCACTAATGGCATCGTCACAAAATAAACGTGATCTGCTACATTAAACAATACAGGGTGATTGTGTCAATAAACAAACAAAACAAATCTGTAAAAGATATATACAATGATACCATTCAACCCGGCTTGACCTGCTGCATGCGTCATGGCATCAAGAAAAGAAACTTATTGAAAGCTTTAAAAAGCAACATGGATTGGATCAAGTCTTGTGATTTTTAGGTAGAAAAGTGTCGACCACCAAAAAAGAGACAGTTACAGTATAAACTCAGCACCACCTGTTTTTCTTGCTTGTTGGTCTAAGTTACCTCAATGAATAAATAGCTTGGTATTCAGGGTACAAATTTTAAATTATAAAAATTTGAGACTTTGAGACAAGGCAATTTGTAGCATTATATAAGCCCGAGATTCCCGACTCTTATTTTAAGAGACTGCAGCTGATATTTTCTGAGACGCATCATTTTATACCCCTTAAAAACATTAATTGACTTGACTTGCGTAGACTTAAGAAAAAATTTTCTTTTCTATCAGGAGAGTGTTATGATCTATATTCTGTATTCAACATTGACTCATTTTGGTAACATGAGCAACAGATTATTATACTAAAAAGCACATAGAAAGTAAAATAAACATAGAAGGATTTTTCTTTATATTTGGCTATTTTGCTCAAACTTGACTCACTGTACTGGCAACATCCCCCACATAACTGGGGTGGAACTATGAATGGTTCAGGCTTTTTGTCAATAGTTTATTAGCTAAAGCTGGTTTGTTAAGTCTAAAGCCTGCAACCGTTATAACAAAAGACAAGTAAAAGTGCAAAGAAAGTAAAATATGAACCCTTAGTCATTTAATAAAACCAAAATAAGTCAAAATCATGGTCCTAAAAATATGCCAAAAATGGTCCTTAAAATAATGGTAATGCCATTCCGCTTCATTCTGCTTGACCCATTACCATGTCAGAAACTTAGCATTTCATGGTTGTATTCTTCCTTCTGCATGTTCAGCATTCTGCGTGTGCACAAAACAATAGATTTTTCCTTAAACACACATTATTTCACAATCAGCTGTGGATTGTTCATCCACAGTGGCAAGTGCAACAAAACGTATAACTTTAACAGATCTTACAACTCTGCAAGACTTGTCTTGGTCATCAAAAATAAAGTAGTTGATAGCTGAAAAAGATTCTCACTCAAATTGACAACAATGTTATTAAGACTTCAAAGAAGAAAAATGACTTTAATTTTTCCTAGACAGCTATATCAACATTTTCAAAACTGCTAAATGCATTAAAGCAGGTGATGAACAAACCATGAATGCTGGAATATAATAAAATTTTATTTTACTCTGAAAGAAATTTATGTCAATAAAAAGTACACCCTCTAGGGGAATTAAAGAACTTTTTGAGGGCATTCAAAAAAAAAATGAAAAATACATTATGGACAATTACATTTCCTCTGAAATGAACAATAAAAGAAAATATATTTCCTGTCGTGCATCAAGAGTAATGTTCGATAATTGATATTTATGTTCAACAGCCAGCTGATATTGACTGTTTTGTTTCCGTAGCCCATAGTAATTAAAGACATGAAATATAGTCAATTATCTCTGGACTGAAGTAAACAAAATGACAAAAAATAGGTGCATGTATTCCTAAAACACATTTTACATATCATATCCTATCATAAAAGAAAGTAAAATTCAATAACCTGTACCTTAGTGAAAGGGAGGGTGTGCAATCTGAGTAAATGCAGACTTGCCATATTAAAAAATTGAGATTTCAATTAATGAAAACTGATGACTCACTGGCAAACACGGTGAAATATATTGGCTTCAAGGGGGCATTATCACAATGACTTTAAAAAGGATGTAAAACTTATTTCTCAGAGGTGAAAAGTATAATCTTCACACAAGTTGTAGCCACAGGCGACAATTTCCCTCACATTTGACAGGTTCTTGGAAGAAACCAGTTGACCTTAAGTTAGCCAGAAAATGCTCTCACTTTCGTTACCCGTTTCGGTTTAAGCATTGCAACTGCAGTTAAATCGTGCACAGTTACAGCATGCATATTTAACTTAAACTTAAGCTTACTCTAAAATTGTGTTATTAGCTTAAAACTTACTTACTAGTAAGTATAATGTACTGGTTTTCAAAGTAGTAATAATTAAATTCTAGACTTACGCTTACAAACTACGTGAACTAAGCGAAAATCAGTGAAATTTAATGTAAAGATATCTCATCAGTGGCGTTCATGCAATTTAACATTCACGAGTATGATCGTTTCGCTCGAGGGACTAAAAAAGACTGCTAGTAGTCTATTAAACGTACGTAAGGCTTATGTACATGTATGTAAAATGACAAATCAACAACTTAACAGACGTAACCATTCGACAAACCAGCTCCTAAGATATCTAAAATCAGCAAATTCACAAAAATATTCATTGAACAGGGCTAACTTATGCGTACGTTCGTGAAAGCGCTAAGCTTAATCCTGAAAAAGAAAAAAAAGCTACTTACCCCTTCACCGGGCGACAAACCAACTCCCAGACTTTTGATTTTCCATGTCACAAAGGCAAAAAGTACAAATCTTAGACTAAAGACACAAATATCATAGGCGGCCATTGCTTCGACAGTTACGGTGAATGTAGATATCTGCTACAGGAAGCAGCATGTCCATTCAACCGAAGCAGAGTACTTTACTTTCCCTTTCTGTTCGTGACGGCATCAAATCTCTGGTCTGACTAACAATCTACCAGGCTAATATTTTAAAACAATCACAATAACTGTGGGCGGTACAGGAACAAGTTAACCCACGTCATCGTACGCTATTTGAATAAAAATAATCTATGTTTACATTCAAGTTTCCTCAATTTCGCTTTCCGAGAAGGTTTAAGGATAATAACTTAAAATAAACTTCACGATGACCTGCTGTCTCCTAGCCTTTCCAGTCAGCGTGAAATTTTAAGATTTAACCTCTCCTTGCAGTGCTAAGTAAGCAAAATTGAGCATGTCAAAGCAGAAATAAATATCTTCCACTACAGTTTTGCCATTCATTTTTAACATGCGGACTCCTCAAATGCCGTGTAGGTGCAAAGCTTTTGGCGTTGACTTAGTTAGCTAGGCATAGCCACTTGCACTAAGAGGTCACGTGATCAATGCTTCCTTACAATAAGTTAGAATCCAAAAATAGATAGAGCACACAAAAATTATCTTACACCCGAAATTTGAGAGGAAACGCATTTAAGGGAGATATTTTATGGCAATTTGATTTTTCAACAAAGTAGTATGATTTGTATTGGCCGCCATGTTGGAGGGCATACTCTTGTATAGAAGGCCAGTCCTGTGTTTCGACCTCCCTCACATTCTGCGCATTTTCAAAGGTATCCGCTTTCACAAAGAAAATTCCCGGGGAAGATTCGCCAACTCTAAAAGACATGAGAACACTAGTCACAAAGGGGGGAAGTGTGTACAAAAGCTATTAACTCACTGGGAACTCGGACTTAAGAGCAGGCTTTTTAACTAACACCGATCGGCTGAATTCCTCATTATATAGCTTCGGTTTCATCGGTCGAACTTCATCGAACTTCAGTTCTTTCTCTTGGGCTTACATGATCCATCAGATTTCATAACTTAACTAAAACACTGGAACACTCCCATATGAAAGGGGCGGGGATGCTCGTCGTCTCGCTTAGGGGTGTAAATTTCAGATTTTGGTCTCACTTTATAGGGTGTTCTGGGCAAAACACCATTATATTTAGCCGTAAAGGTCTATTTAGGGTTGCACTCAAAAAATTTTAAAAATCATATATTTTCAATTCGTTTTATTTACTCGATTGATGTGACCAAAGTTTAAAATGATCGCTTTAGGGGTCAAAAAAAGGTTGGGCCACGCCGAGATTGGTCTCCTTTAGGGTTTTAATTCAAAATTACCGACAAGCATCCCTGCCCCTTTCATATGGAAGTTCTCCCCCTCGGGACTGAAAGCCACTCGAACTGGCCACGGAAGAATGACCTCGTGACCAAGCATTTTGAAAGCACCATCAAGACGGCGGACGTAGCTACAATTCTTTGCGTGCCTTGGTACTCGATTTTATGTTACGTTCTTGCAGCTTGTCATAGTTTTTGGAACATCAGTTTCACTGTTTATTACACTCTATATGGTGTTCTGGTTTTCGTTATAAGAATCAGATGAAAATATCCTCACAGTTGTAAAAATCGGGATTTTTCCTATCCGGATCGCGAACGATCGGATCGAACTTCTGGTTGAACACATTTCTATTAGCGTGTAAACATATATTGATATATCAAAAAATCTTCAAACCCTCGTGCCTGCCTGTACGTGTAAAATTCAGTTCATGGTTCCTGGCGAAATCTACTGGTAAAGTTGATACTGTTATTGCGCAATCTCAGGAGTTTTATGTCAAAGTGGTATGGATGCTTAAAAGTTTAGGACTAGAGAATCATGCTCTAAAGCGGGATTTTATTGTTATGATCCAATTAGACATTTCTTATCTTGAGAAACATTTCTAAAGCTTCGCACACGGTTGCAAAACTTAATTTAAAAAAAGTCAACTCATAAACAATGAAAACACAACGCAGAATGAGAGGGTGTATCACTGACATCACCTATTGTTAATGCATGTGGAGCACAGTTGTTAAAATCTTTATAAAGAAGCTTGCCTTCAGCTCCTAAACAAGTATACCTTTGTTTTGTGTACTGTTGTTCTTCCGTTCCTAACGAATTCATGGTCACCTCAACATAATTTCATAGTGGCATTTTAGAACGGGAAAAAACATGATCAGCTCTGGATTTGTGTGTAATCCCTCAGTTCAGACTTTTTTTATCTAAATAACAAATTGACAAACTGATTAGTAATATATTCTTCCTTCCTTCCCTTGATGGAGGGCCTCCCATTCCCCCAGTCTGAATACAGAGAAGTTCTTGACTTTTCCAATTTGCCCCTTATATAGAGTCGACATATAGGTGCGATGTCTTTGCCCTTCCTGATTTAAACGGTTGCCCCCATCGGGTATAGAAATACATTTTTGCGAATGCGAGGTTTATAATTTTGTGCCGTTTTTGTCTGAAAACAAGGATCGGCGATAGATCATCCTTTGGCTTTATACTTTTGCCCGAGTGTTTTTTGGAAAATAGAATCAGTAATGACGAATTATGGTCAACCTCAAACTCAAGTTATGAAGAAAGGGTGTGAAGCAATTTTTAGCGGCGGGGGGGTCCTCCCTTATATAACCAGGGCGCTTCCCCATCAGGGTTCCTGAAAACGGGGCTTTGCCATTTGGCCTGGAAAAAGCGCCCAGGGGCTTCAGTTCCTGGGCTCCAAAGCCCGGAAAAAGCGCCCTGGGGACAAGGTTGATGACTAGGCTGACGAGCCAAAAGAACGTCTTGCATTGCATGGGCTGGGAGGCTGGCAAGACTACCTATGGCTTGTAAATTACTTTATAACTCTTTCCTCGTAACGTGAGTTTAGGCCACCTGTGGTTTCTGTGTCTCGGCGGCACCTCTCTTCCCAAACTTCCTTTGACTACTCCCTGGGATATTGAAGCAACGAGGTCTATGATTAAATTTGTGACTTATTGATGATTCTGATTGGCCTTTTGTTGTAAAAAAAAAATCAAAATGCTAAAAAAACAAACAAACAAAAAAGGTATACCCTGTTGAGCAAGCGACACATGGCTGTTTAGGCTAGCCTGAATTTCATCCGATTACTTCGAGTCCGCGGTTATTACCCCCTCAGTAACGACGCTGCTGAGAAGAGAAAACGACTCGAAGCAATCGGATGAAATTCAGGCTATATGTTTAGGCCATATTTGGGACTTTAAGCAAACCGCTACGGCGACCGACCTCTACTACGGCTGTCGGACGTGAAAAAGCTCGAAACTGACGCAGCCGTGTACATGCTTGGAAAAAACCTTTCGCCATACCCTTAAGCCGTACCCGTTCGTCAAATCCTACAACGTGAAGACCCGTCTTGTGGCGTAGTCGCTATTACGTGAGTACCAGAAATTCTCCTATTTTTCACAATCATTGGTTTTAAACCTATCATAGATTGTTTCTGACTTATCAAGAAAGTATTTGACGCTTCTGGTTTTCCAGTAATTACGTCTTCCCTGTGTTTTATTAACAGCTAAAGCACAGTTTCGTTTAGTAAAAGTCAAAGGTGCCCAACTTTGGAATGATTTGCCAATCGATCTTAAGAAAAATGTATTGTATAATTCTTTTAATAAACTAATTAAAGGTTATGTTAAGAATCAACATTCAATTATAACGGTTAGCAGTTAGTTCTCAGTTACCTATTAGTTACTAAATGTGTTAAAAACCCATCTGCTATCTGTAAATAGCGGTTAAGTACGGGGCTAAGTAAGTAAGTGAGTAAGTAATTTTATTTAACCACATATCGCATATGAGCGATAGCTCGTTTAAATGCATATGTGCCATAAAAATTACAACGTGATAATTTACATAATCTACATGTACAAGTAATGAATAAAAATAAGAAATAGAAAAATTAAACCAACTAAAAAATAATAATAATTTAAAAATAGAAAATATTGGTAATCAGATTGTCTATTTACAAAATTCACAGTTGCAGTCATACGATGAAGACAACTGTATGTTTTGTAAGTTTTTCCTAAAGATAGAGAGGGACTCCGACATCCTTATTTTGTCTGGTAGATTGTTCCATTGTTTGCCAGCCTGGTACGTGAAAGAATGTTGCATATAAGATGAGGTCGGTCTTGGAAGAACAACCTTCAGATGGCCCCGTAGGCTGTAACCATTGCTTCGCAGTAAAAACATTTCCCGAATGTAGTTCGGTGCCTGGTTATAAATGCTATTGTATACAAGTATCAGCGCTTCTTGTTCTATGCGTCGATGTTCCAAGCTTTTGATATGTACAGTTTTAAGTAGCTCTTCATAAGCAGTCGATTTGGAGAAGTTAAGAAGAGTCCTAAGAACAAATGCGTTGGTTGACTCTAGTTTTGCAGACAAACCTTTACTTAGACCTATGAACAATGGTGATGCGTATTCAAAGTGAGGCAGAATAAATGCTTTGTACAGTTTAATCATAATATCTGAGGGTATAAGTTTACGAATGCGACGAAGAATTGAAACTTCTGTGTTCACTTTCCGGCGAATTTCTTTAATATGTGCTTTAAAAGAGAGTGAATTGTCGATAATTACACCAAGGAGCTTGATCTGCGGAACGTAATTCAGTTCATTGCTGTCAATAACAAAGGGCGTTGGTAGAGTTGCTCTATTGAAGACGATGGATTGAGATTTACTATGGTTAATCGCCAGGAAGTTCTTACAAAACCAGGAAACGAGTAGACCAAGGTTGTTTTGTAGATTTATTTGCAAGGTGGATGGACATGGGCTTGAAGAGTACCCCGTAGTGTCATCGGCATAGAATCTTAAGGAGCACGAAATATCTGAAAAATTCGCATCATTCATGTATATATATTGAAGAGAAGGATTGAACCTTGAGGAACTCCACACTTCATAATTTGCCAATCTGACAGGTTACCGTCTATCTTGACATGTTGCTTTCGGTCAGTCAAGTAAGAACGTAGAAGTTGTAGGGCGTCTTCAGTTACACCGTACG